AAACAGCGTAGAACTGAAAAATTGACAACAACCTAATCGAAACACGAAATGAATCGAAATCAATACGCACAGGTTTTAAATGGAGGTGAAAAATAATAAGAGTATTTTATTTTATAAATCATTATCAATTCTTAGCTATGATTTTTTATGTTAAAATACAGTTACATCGATATAGTTAGTCTAATAAAAAAGCTTATGGTTACAGATTTGTGCTCGTCTAAAAATCTAAAATTGTATTAATACATGTGCAACTTTGATTTCGATTTAAAATCATAAAATATATATTTTTGTATTTTTTTTTTTTAGAAGAAGAAGAGGTATAAATTATTATTGCTACTTGTCGAATATAAAAAACACTATCCGCATTGTGTATACATGTTCTAAATTACGTCCAAGTTGTTTTTAACGCATTTCTCTTTTAATCGTACGTACAGCAGACTGTCAAAAATAATAAAACGTGATAAGGCAGTACTAAAATAGTGTATTTTAAACGCTTAACTCAGTACTTTTTGATTATTTATTCATATTATATCATACTTATTCGTCTAAACATATTGAAATGATCGCTATATAAAATTTAATTTTTCGAAAAAATTAATATACTTATTTATCTATTATTATTCGTGGACGTATTTTGAACATGTTTTAAATCGAAAAACTTTGTGTTAAAAAGTATTTCAAAAGTTGAATATTAACCACGAGCAGCTTATCGATTATACACTTTAAAACACACTTGTATTACAAATTGAAAAACACTGTATATCGGTCAGAACACAGAGTAAGATAAAAAAAAAAACTTAATCAAATAACAATATTGATCCTATTGATTGAAGTTTATGCTATGTCCATGCATTACAATTTTTAAATTTATTTTAAATTTTTAGATATTAGTATATTTCATTTGATATTGGATTACAAATGGTCCATAAAAATCCGAACGGTGCGGTACATTTAAACTCAAACCCGGGTCCACGAGTTGTTCTCCATAAAACTTCCAATGCAATTACAAACAATTACGTGGAAACACAATTGGAAAATAACGAGAAAAAACAATAGTCACTTGTTTTTAGATTGACTCGACCGATACTTAAACTCGACCCGGCTTTAGTTAAATAATACGAAAGTAAAATTTATACATCTTGTGGTACAATTCTATATATACATATTCTTTTGGTCAAAAGTTTCGTAGACATTTAATTACGTTATTCCAGGTTTCCCGAAACATAAAACTGGGAACCACCAAGCACCACGGCAAAAAAAAAAGTCAAATACTATCGTTTTCGGCTGCGATATATATAATTGATGAATTTTGTGGTAATAGCGTTTAATTTGAACAAGACGTTCGTTCGTAATGAACATAGTTTTATACAAATACAGGTGGTCGAAAGGAAATCGAAAAAAGTAACCATCAACGCGGAGGGTGGTATAAATAACGAATGTTCAGCACTGTTTTTTCGCGGGGTGGTGCGTACACAACAAAACAGTTGCACGTTACCCGTCTAACAAAAAAAAAAAAAAAAAAAAACAATTAAAAATTCCGTAATCGATCCCGGATCGATTGAAAAACTAACTCTGTCAAATTTTTAGACTGTAAAGAATTATATGTAGGTACTTTCAAACAGCATTATTTCTACTGATTTACTTATCTACTTTACTGTATTTATTGATATATTTATATATCCAGTCAATCGCTGAAATTCAATTAGATTTCATTCGAACACGTTTGTTTATGTTCATTACGCTTCGACGTTGGATGTGGTTTTTAGAGTGAAATTAAATAATTGGACATTACCGTTAGTCCATTTAGGACTGTTAAAATCAACATATAACGATATGTTGATATGAAAAATCTTCATTTTTTTTTTTTTCTTTTTAATTTAAAACCAAACAAAAATCTATATACGGGCTTTTGAACAACATTTCGTTTTAACTGTAGTGTTAATTCGTTTCAAGCGATCACGGAGAAAATGTCACTCTACGAATCCTCGATATGTTTCGAGAGAAAAACAGAATAAAATATTATATAAATATATTGATTTGTTATAAAAACATAATCGGGTTAAACGTTTTCGTCGAACTTCTCAACAGTACGTAAATCGAATCGGTTATTCGGTTAAGGTGTTGTTATATTGTTATTTTGTCCGACCGTGGCCGTTATAAAAACTACTATATAATATCACGTCGAAGTCGCGTTGCAAAATGAAAATTAGCTGAACAAGAAAGATATCGATTTTAAAAATAAATAACTTTCCAAAAGGATTGTCGTCACTTGCCCACCACGAGAACCTAGCGCCGGATGCAAGTCCTTAGAGGATAGACGTTCATATAACTTGTGACGAATAAAACTTTTGAAATCATCGTCTATCTGCTGCCTCGATCTACGGCTAGTAGATACCTACTTCAGCAGTCGTAACGACAACTCTCACGCATCGTATCCTGCACGTATTATAAATTGGAAATAGTTTCGTCGAAGTAATATCACATACTCATATATACTTAAAAATAATATATATATATATATACGTGTTTATACAGGGTGTCTCGAAAGGATTTAATAATCACAGGCACTTATACAGGAAGGTTTGTTGGTCAACCCTCTGACCAACTGAACATTTTCTTCAGTAGTTGTAAATCTTACATTTATTTATTACTGTAGTATAGAATACAATTTTTTCCAATAAAAATTTCAATTTACTCGTATATATAAATGTAAAATTAAATATGTAAATCATCAGTCTATGCGTGATAATATTTTAGTCGGAAAACTTTATAAAAGATCAATATTTTGTTATTTTCTGGAACATTTTACTTATATTTGTTAATTTCTTAATTACAATCATGTTTTATCTGAATTATAATAATTTATTCCAAGATACTTAAATAATACTATTGATTTAAAAGATATACAAAAAGCAGTAGTTTTTTTTGTGGGGGGGAGGGTAATATTCTTCCACAATTTAACAGAATTTAAAATATGGCTAATTAAATAGAAAACATCAAAAATGTACAAAAGAAAGATCGTTCAACTAAAATATTGACCAATTTTTTTAAAATATCCTGGATTTATTTTCTAATCCTACAGTTTTTTACAAATTTTAGCTACATTACCTGTCACAACTGAACGATCGTTCTCAACTTTATGGAAACTCATAACATTGACGACGCATAATCGGATAAACGTTAGACTCACTAGATTAGCTCTGCTTAACATACACATAACGAAAACATGATAATAATATCGAAAATGTTATATTAAAAATATTTTAGATTACCACCAAAGTGAGATGTTATAATTTAACATATTAAGTTCTACCTAACATAATACGTAATCCAAGTCTTATAATTAATTTTTGGATTATTTTAATTCATTCGAATGAATTTCATAAGCAATAAATAAAATACATTTGTTTTTTCGTTAACTATTTTATAAATTTTTTCTCCTATAATAAAAAATGTTTATATAACTGTGATTTGAAATTCAATTTAAATACATATGCACAATTTGAATTATAGATATGGTGCTATACAATGTTACAAGTTATGTTACAAGAGACACATGTCACATATAATGAGCAAAGGGAGAATATTACTAATGATAATTGTAAACTATTATAAATGGGTTCCTTAAATTTTTATTTTTTTTTGTTTTTATATACGTATCTGATCAATAAATACATGCATTTATGTTATGCAAAGTCTACGTTTATTAACGTCTTAATCGTTTCTGTAGAAAATCATTATTTTTGTTAAGCTTTTTTCGATGGCAATACCTTAGGGTTTATTTTTCGGTTTAATTCCTATTGTACTGTTCATAATTTTGTGATTTAGAATGTTTATTGTTTGATCCACAGAAAACGTTATCAGAGCATGGATTTATTGAGAAATACATTCGGTGATGAGTACCTTGTTCGGCAATAAAACATAAACGGTATTTGAAAATACATATTTACTGTAAATAAGAAATAAAAATATATTAAAATTTATTATATTTCGAAATATTAAGAAATTATTTACAGTAAAAGTATTAAGTAAAGACTAGAGAACAAAGCCTAAACAGCTGTGTTGTTGTACACCGCACATTCTCGACGAAAATCCATTTGCTTTCGATTAAAGTTAAAATTATGTTTATACTTTTTTATTTAAAATAAGAAACGAATATTTATGTACAAAACATTAACATTTTGATGTATTACTGACGAGGAATCGGTGTGAAACTTGCACGTGTACTTGCAGTATTAATACGCATTTATAGTATATATTAATATTTATAGTGTGCTTATATCACCCGTATCAATTTTACCTCGAGTGATTGGTCAACTAAGTGTCTACATAATAGCTGGTGTGTTAGCATAAAATATTATTAAAGTCTAAAACACTATTTCTGACTCATTATAACTATTGAATGAAGCGAACAACCCAATTGCACGTCCAACAATCGTCTGTAAGTGGATTTTTTTTAAGCGTTTACAAAGTAATATAATTTAATTATATTCATTAGAATACCTCTTATTTTAAAACGTTACATACAACTTGATAGCAGTCATAAAGAAATTTATAATCGAAAATGTCAATAATAAATATTTAAAATACCAGATCATAAATCAAAAAAAAAAAAAAAAATAATAATAAACTTTAAAATAATGATAACTTGAAGATGTTTACTTTTTTTTTGATAGACATTTGTATATAACACCGTAATTATCAACAAGTTATGTATGAATTAAAAATCAAAACATATTGAAAATATATTAAAACTATTATATACTAAAACATGAACAGATTAATTTTTTCGCCTACGGGTATAGCCCTAACAACGAGTAACAAATTATATAGATTATATAACTATATATCATTATATTGACTTTGAATTTAAACGAAAAAATATAATACATATGCAAATAACAACAATGTATTGAGTATCAAGAAAAAATAAGAATAGAAAAAACCAAAATCTCTTAAACAATTATACTAATTTGATTTTTCATATTTGTTTGTTATAGCTAGGAGACTTATCAAATCCAGAATTACGGATTCTCACTGATCATTTGGACATGATTAGATACAGCGGTAAGCTCAGAATATTAAGCCATCATCAAATATTTGTCCATCGCTATGTATATAGTACAAAATGTATTTTCAATTATATAAAAAAAGCAGCCATAAATGAAATTCGAATGCAATAGAAATCGGTCATAACAAAATGGAAATCCGTTTTTGTAACTTATTAATTTGTCGCGAACGATTTTTATATATCCCGTACGTTAGTTTTTTTTTTTTTTTTTTTATTAATTAATCATACGTGAAAAAAAAATGTTTAAATGCAGTAATAATAAACGAAAATAATATTTGAACAAAAATTAACAGTAGGAATTCAATAAAATCAAAAACGCTAATAAACTTATAATATATAAAAAAAAAAAAAAAAAAAACATATAATCAAGAACTTTTTCCGCTGCGAGCCTACCTTCTATATCGATTGATGTCATGGAAAATGTTTATAAAACAATTAATCGTATAAAATGTTTACGTAAACCTATTTTTAACATTGGTCAACTATGTATTTACATGTTTTTATAATAATTTCCATCTCTCATTATGGCACGCACTGTCCTCACATCACTACATTGTAGCGAAACACCTACACAGATCCTCCATAGATAGGATCCATAGATCCTCCATCATACACTCAAATCCGAATGGATAACAATCGAATAAATTATTTGAAATATAATCGGGTTATGGGTGCCACGAGTACAGAAGGTCAGAGTTGGGAGTTATTCGAATAAAATTTTATTTAGATGATTATTTAGATAACATTTTATTCGACTAATTTTCAAATACAATTATTATTAGATATCATAAATTCAAACAGATAATTTTTATAGCTACATGCCCATATCTATCTAGTATTTTTATATTTTTGTGTAGAGCTCTATATATTTGAACTTATAAATATGAAATACAACAGTGAACATACATAGTTAGTACATAGTACCAAAATATCTGAGACTATATAATATAATACAGAAACTGGACTAAACTAGATATAATAATAACATCTACAATATTGATAATTAATTACTATTAAGGTACATACTAAATACATGTAGACAAACTAGAATAATTATAATCATTATTTCATAATACATATTTAGCAAATAGTACTAACTACTACTATATATACTAGGATAGGATAACTATGTTTAAAAATTATTCAAATAATATTATGATCACAAATTATTCCAATAATATTGTTTCTATATCATTCGAATAATTTTTTATTCAAATACATATTTATTCGAATAATTATTTAGATAAAATTTTACCCAACTCTGCAGAAGGTTGTGTCCGTCTTACAAAAACCAAACACAGCAGATTCAGTAGAATTAAGTAGATCCGATGTTATGTCGTTAGTTTTTTACAAGAGTAAACCGGCTAATCGTCAAACCTAAAGAGATGGACATCATGTGTGCTCTTACGTCGGTGTTTTACGTCTTAATCTATGAGCTCTACGCTTTAGGTTTGACGATAAATACGGTTTATTCTAACGTTAAAGTTAACAAACACGACCGTTGGTTCTACCGGACGGTAATTTGTTCTGATGTACGTTTATGTTGGACGGAAACAGCACTACGCGCGGGGTCGACATGTGCTCTCTCGAAAATTCGGACGAAACGACGCGTTGAATCTCGTCGAATCTCCCTGTTTCGCGTTGACCGAATGGATATGCTTTTATCGTGTACTCCGTCGTGTGAACGGTGTTCTATGAACACCGTGTCCATTTGTCCTAACGCGAGTACGCACATTCACATACACACACACACACACACACACACACATATTCATACACACGCAAAGAATAATGGTACACAACATAATGTACAGGTGTTTTGCGTGTTCGACTACGGGCAAAAAAAGAAAACCTACCCCTCCGTGCGCGTACGTAATCAACACATGTCGAGCTCGTCGGTACTTAAAAATGATTAAATTACCGCCACAACGTGTGCCCACTCGTTCATGCCAACAGTTGCTCATTCGAACCGTTTGCGTTTCAGGTGACGAAGTACCGGTGAAACGGTTGTCGGTCGCCGATCTGTTGCCCGCCACCCATTACTATATGACGTACGACGGGTCCACCACGTTTCCCGCGTGTCACGAGACCGTCACATGGTTGATACTGAACAAACCGATCTACATCACCAAACAACAAGTAAATACCGTGTTATTACGACTTTTTTTTTTGTTTGTTATTACACTCGCTCAGTAGTCGACATTTCGATAATGATTAAGTGATTATGGGTGACGTAAATTATCTGTGCGCTTTCGGTGCTGTCGAACAACCAGTTTTGGGACTTATATAGATACATTTATCTATATATATTATCTAGATAGATTTTTTATTATCTTTTATCTTGTATAGATAAATAACGCTAAGTTATCTATTTACTTTTCTAAGATAAAATTTTTACTTATCTAGATAATTATATGTATTCTTGCCAAGATAAGTGTTACTTTTATTCTTGTACGGAGACGAATTTAACAAATCAGAGATCATCAAAATCGGTCCATCCGTTCTTGAATTTTAAATTCTGTAACTAACCTGACTTTCTTTTATACATATAGATTTTGTATTCATAACCATAATTCGTGTATCATAAATAAGTAATTATTATTTCTTGGTATGACATTTTGTTTGTATTTTCATATCGGGAAAATTTTTTTTGGTATTTTTAAACTTAATATCTTATTCTTCCATGGAAGTTCCAAATATAGTAGGTATTTGATTTTAGTATACACATGTAACTCATACGCTGAATAGTCATTACTTCACCCTTGGAACCCGTAAAGTCGTAACTACTTATAGAATAATGAAAATCATCAAATTAATATTATATGGAAAACAATATTGTTAACTTAAAATAATTTTTATGTATTCTGTATTCATCCAGATACGTACAGAGTAATTTTTGTTTATTTTTTTTTTTTATGTAATATTTTAGAGATTAACTATTATTAAATATTGTACATTATATATAAATACTGCTTAATGGTATATTAAAATTACTATAATAAACAATAACTAGATAATTTTAATTTTATTTATCTATTATCTTTATCTAGATGATTTTGGACATATTATCTTTCATCTTTATCTAGATAAATCTTGCATTATATATTCCCAAAACTGCGAACAACGGAGCCGAATTAGACAAAAAAAAACAAAAAAAAAAAACGTGTACAGCGAGATCACGCGTCAGTGAGTGTTTAACGTAGAGTATGAAATAGTTCGGGTTCGTCATACATCTTCAAAACCAACTAAACCAGCCCCATAATGTATAATCACTATAATTACGGTATTGTTTTTTTGTTTATCACAGTCGGTGTACCGATGCACAGGTAGTACCATAAAATAACTTGAGTCCAAGTTTACGAAACGTTGAACGTAATAAATTAACATTCGCAGTAGTAGAGCAATGCAGTCGTTACAAACAGTGATGTTCAGATGATGTGGTAGTTCTAATTGTTATCAACTGCATTATCGTCGACGTTTTATTTATATTCGTCGTATACGATCTGAAACATACGATCACTAGCAAATGTGATAAAGTTAGTTAAAGTATACTATATATTGGATGATAAATCAAACATACGTATGTTCACGAAAATAACAAATAAATAAAAAAAATACAAATATTTACGTGTAAGCTTGATGCGAGCAGTCGTCCGTAAACGATACTCGAGGCGCGTTATCGATTAGTCACGTTTTCCCGGAGCACACGCGTCGCGTCATACTACCCTGGTACCAAAGTGCAGCCAAACAGCCGGTGAGCTTTTGACCCAAGGTGGACTTAGACTCGCAACAAAAGCTCAGCTTTCAATTCAATTTTTCCAACAGTTATCTCTTTGGAAATTATTGTCATCTTCATACCGTACCGATATTCGTTTGTGAGTTCGCTTAGTCAGGTGAATTGATTAGAGGGGGTGGCCGTGTTCGTAAAACAAGTTGGAAATGTTCGTGATACATCAATATCGTGGTACATACGGGTATTGTTTTCAATCGACTATGAAAATTACACATACAAGTTGAGCAAATAACGGAACGAAAAATGAATTAATTAACTGAAACATTTGAGTAAATATAATAATAATAATATAATTACATCAATGATAAATTGTTTATATAATTTGTGTTTTAATTTCGCTAGAAGTTTACGGTCAAAGTTGAAAACGTTAGCAAAAAATCAATCGCATAAGCCAGGTATTGATATTTATAATCCGGAACCGAGCATTTCACCCTCACATGATAAAACTGATGTGGTTTTAATAAAATAATCGCAAATGCAACGAGATAAATCATTGTAAACGAAAAAAAATTATAAACGACATTGACCATATTTTATATATATATCTCTTGTCATTTCAGTATTATTTGTTATGTTTTCTGAATTTGAATTGCCCATAAAACAATTTATAAATAAAAATTATTAAATGAGGTACAGAAATATTACAAAAAAGACGGAATTTAACTTTCAATTTGACAACCTTACGGCTTGAGATCATTGAGATTTAAAATGTTTACCAAAACGAATTATGCTATAATAACAAGATGTTAAAACTGCTGGAATAATAATAAAAATAATTGTCTTTTTTCTTTTTCCAATTTGACCTTATTTGACCAACTCTATGGTACATAATATACTCTTACTAATTTACCATTAAATTTCAAACCGTATTAAAATCTCGAAGCACTTTATCACTCGGAAAACAAAGTTTTCTAGTAACATTAACGATATTTCACCATTATTTCGAAATTTTTTACAATCACCGAAGATTTTCTAAAGTACACAGAACAAAAACACCATTGAGAATACTCCACCACACTTTCAAGGGAAAAATAATAGTATTAATACGTGTGTCTAAATATTGGACGTGGAACTTTTTCAAAGTATTGTTAATGGTGTTTTAAAACAACAAAAAAACTATTTTATACTTTTAAATTTGACAAAACTTTTGGAAAAAAATTGACACATATAGATCAGCAAATCGTTATATCCTCGGCAAAGATCATAAAATATTATAATGTTCATGAAAAATCACAAAAAATCAAATTCAAATCCGTTGGTTTTGATCGGATTTAAAATAGTATAATGAATGTTATATATATAAATGTTATTTACAACCAGACATAGATAGTACAATGTATGATATGATTTATTTTTTAAAATTATTTACTTAACAACCAATGCAATAATGGTTTAAAATATGCATGATTTAATGATCGATGATTATCAAATGATAAAATATAATTTCTTGTTTCGTCGTTGACAAACTGTGTTGTCATCCAATGATGTTCAAGTATCTAAACTTAAGTTTTTCTTTAAAGTGCCGTATTTCCGATTTCGTCAATAATTCCAATATATTTCATCAAAATTGTATGAAAACTTATTACTTTTAATAAGTAGATAATTATATATATATACATGTATTATTTATATTTACTATTTTATTTATAATAATAGTAACAGGCGTTAGCCCAAATAACAAATTTTTGCTTAATATTTAAAATATAATAGTAATATAGATTTCTAAGAAAGAAATAATAAAATAACAATGATAACAAAAAAAAAATGATAATATAAAATAATAGTGTCAACTTTGGTGATAATATGATACTAATGAAAAATTACAGTGTTGTTTAAAGTAACATTTTTAAAATAAAATAATATAATATATAATAATAAATAGATATCGGTATAGATAGAATTACAGAAATACAATATTGCTATTTAAGGTATTCCCGGCAGATAATAATATATTAATTGGTGAATGTGACATGTAATTTTTAGAATAATGTGGAATAAAAAAAAGATCTTTGTTTCGAATATTATGATTGTTAATTTTGAATGATATAAGACTAAGGATGAAGGAGTCGTTGATTTCGTTATTTAGTAATTTATTAAGGAATATAGAGTAGGAATGTTGTCTTCTATCTTTTAATTTTTTTAAATTTAATTTATTGAGAAGAATATCATAACCAGATTGTGAACACAATTATTTTTATTTTGTTGAATTTAAATATCTACTCATTACGTTATTTTTGTTTCAAATCTGAATTTACCAACCTTAACAACCTTTTGTATATTTATTTTCATCAAATAAATTGGAAAAGTTAGCTCTTGGTGTTAAAATATGGTAAATTAGGCTCGAACGATTTATATAACATACTTACAGCTATGAATTAATAAGTATGGGATTACAGTACATTTGAAATGGTTCAAAGTTTGGCGATTTGAACGAATTAATTTTAATCAATTTATAGTTTTTATAATTTTGTTTTAGGTATATTGTTTACGTAATTAATCGAGTCTGCGTTAAGATAAAATTTATTTTTAAACCGAACGATTCAAGTACATTTACATAATAAGCAACTGCATTTCCGTTAGTTTACCGTTTTATTTTTTTCGTCTGCAGCTTTTGTTGTCGTTCTTTCGTCGCGACAGAATTCCTTTAATTCGCGTTTCGTATATTATATAAGATGAATTGCATTGTATTGTTTACAACAGATTTCGTTCTGCGAATATCTTTTTGATGACATTCCGATAACTGTTTTCAGTCGTACAACACAGTTAATGGGCGAGAACACCTCGATCCTGGCGACACATCTGCTCTCTTATTTTACCCCCACGTCATTTGTACGCGTGCAGTACGAAGTTTTCTCGGAAGCAAAATGTAATAAGTAACTGTTACTGGGATTTATGAGAGCAGATTTATGAGTTACACCTGAACGAACGCCGTACGGCACGGCGCGTTGGTTATGCAATATTAGTACGTGAACGTAAGCGTGGGCGACGAAAAACATTATCTCCCAACGATTCTCTTATTAACGGGCATTCGTCGATTCCGCCCGACCGTTTTTATTTTTTGTCGCGGTAAAAGGTACATCGATTTGAACGGTACGAGTGAAAACCCTATTGATACCTCGCCACTTATCGAATTTTACCGAAACGTTTATGCCCCTATTACCAACGATTACGTAATCGTAATGTTTTAAACACAATATAATTTATGCACCGTAATAATCATCGTTATTTGATAACGGTAAATATAAATGGAAACACTCGTTAATAATGTACAAAAAGACGGATCAATGCGCGATGGAATCGATACGACCGGTTATAAAATATATCCGATTTGTATTATATTGAATGA